CTCTAACCTGATCCTCCTCCACCAAGGGAGAGTCTTCCTTTCTCCAGACTTCCCCTCTTGTCCCCAGGCTCTGAAATTCCTGAGGGCTGGCCTTAGCAGTAAAGACTGAAGCAAAGAAGGCATTCAGTATCTCCGCCTTCTCTGCCTCCTTTGTTACCAGGGCACCCGCCCCATTCAGCAGCAGGCCCACGTTTTCCCTAGTCTTCCTTTTGCTACTGTTGTATTTGAAGAAGGCCTTCTTGTTGTCCTTGGCATCCCTTGCCAGATTTAGTTCCAAATGGGCCTTAGCCTTCCTCGTCGCATCCCCGCACACTCTGACAGCGTCCCTGTATTCCTCCCAAGTGGCCTGTCCCCTTTTCCACATTCTGTAGACTTCCTTCTCCTGTTGGAGTTTTGCCAGGAGTTCCTTGCTCATCCGTGCAGGTCTCCTGCCCGCTTTGCTCGACTTCTTACTCATAGGTCATCTGTGAGCTGCTGCCCCTTCAGAATTGATGTGTTTGAGGTTGGATTTCTTTTTCCCCCCTCTAAGCACAGTGAAGAAAGATGCACCCTGCTAAGTATCAAAGGGAGGCAACTTTGAAACATGTCTGAGCCCTTTGTGCTCTTAAAACTGCATGAAACTCAGGGCCTCCTATATTTGCTCAGCTTCAAGGAGACGGAAAGTGACAAGCAGCAGCATGTAGTGGCAAATAGCAACAACTGGCCAGTCGGAGAGTGTTTGGGGATAAAGAGCAAAACATAGCATTAATGATGCGAACAAAATACCACACGAGGTTATTATCAATAAAAAATTATTCAGTATCAGAAAAAGGACAGCTGACTATAAAATGGAATTAAACCCTGAGTGAATGGCAAATTCTCAGTTTAGATGCAATAGCCGTAAACACAAAGCCATGCACATGTGGAAAGACAAACTTGACTGCACATGTAACATGATGCAGAACTATTGGCACACAGGAGAGAGAACGTGGAATACCAAGTTTGTCAACTCAGTGTTTAAGAGTAGTCAGAAAGCAAGAAGAATGATACGGATTATCAGGAAAGGAACAAGTTAGAAACATCAGGGTGCTATTACATAATCTCCGGTGGACTTGTGTCTTGAAGACAACACATTTGAACTGGAAAAAGTACAGAGAAAGATCAAATATGAGAGGAAATAAATATATTTAAAACTCATGAAGCTCTGAAAGGGATGACTGATGAAGATTATAATATACAGGACATTGTGGCTAGCATGGACGCAGTAAAAAGGGTGGAAGGAGAGAGGAGTATCAGGCCAAAGTCTGACCACAGCTGCTTATACTCTTCCCTAAGCATCCATTATTAGCCACTGTCAGAGGGCTTCTGGAGCAGACAAATCTCTCACTAGACTTAGAACAGCCATCCTTACGCTGCGCACAGGAACATAGCCTGGGGAACAGAGGCTTGCAGCTAACTTTCCAACTGTGTAACAAGTTACAAATCCAACAACGTAGCTGTGGAACTGGGGACATACACAGGCAATATATTACAGTCCCCGGATTTCTTCTTTCAGAAGAACTAATTGCCATGGACACACTCTTGCAGCCTGGAGACTGGAACTGCTTTTCCTACTGCTTGCAAATGCACTGGAAAAGTTTGACTTCAAAGTGCAAGTGAAGGCAGCAAGTGATTGCAACCTGCAGCCCATGTGGAGATACCTTTCATCTACCAATTTACAAGATCATCTGTAAAATAAAATGGATATGCTGTAGGTTACCTAAACATGGAGTGTTTAAACATGCTGTGCAAAATGACAGCTTTTTCACTGGCTAAAAGCATGTAAGTCGGTGTATTTTTTGTGTAAAACCTTCATCCTGAAGGGACAGGTTTAAAGAAAAAAAAAGAGTGAGGTTGACTTAAGATTTTGTTACTATGAGTCCACTTTCTCCCCTCCCTGAGGGCAAGGTTTCCCATCTCCTCCTTTGTGTCAGGACCAGCAATCATACAGCCACGTAGGGACATGACCCAGCTAAAAAGCAAGCCCTATTCAGACTGCCACATGGCCATGCGAGCTCCGGTGCAGACACAGAAGGGACAGCGGAAAAACAAGCCAAAAGAGAAGACAAAACAAGTCTTACCAGTTTGGTTTAAGCCAATTGTTACAGCGCACCTTCAAGTAATCCCCATTTGAGCCAGACTCCAGTCCGCACTGGGTTGCTCTGCTTATTGGACAGTGAATAGGCAGTTCTTTGTAAACCACTGTTTGGGTTTCAAAGCAAAGGAGGGGTTGGAGGAAGGCTATTTTTAACCTGCAATTGTTGCTTGATAAGCTGCGAATACTAGCGATCCATTGCAAGCGTGCAATAATTTTCTTCTATTAATAGCTCATTTTCCAGCTTCAATTAAGAGTAATAAAATGTAATTTTACTGCTTAAGATTTACACAAGCGAGTACAAAAGAGACTTTTCTTCTTCTAATTTTATACTACAAGATGAAAGTTATATGCAGTTTTGACTTTCGGTGCAACCTTTGGGCCCGAGCGCTTATTTGAACAATATGAAGTGAGAGAGCAAACTGAAGCGTCTAGGAGGATGGAGCAACTCAGCAGCTGGTTTGATTTTTACTAGGGGGAAAAATAAAGCCACTGTAATTTAGCGTGAGACAGTTGGCTGCTCAAAGTGGGGAGGGACTGTTCTGTTTTATTGTTGGGATTATACACGGAAAAATATAGTATTTAAAAGGCAGGATGTCCTAGTGATTATTCGCGTTACTCCTGATGACAAAGGAAAGTAAGACTGAGCTGTAACCAGTAGGAAGTCTTTTATTATTCTCTGGTTTTGGAGCCAGCATAAGCTGTGATGCCTAGCGGCTGCACACATAAATCACTTCAAGTCCTGACAAACTCCCAACTACACTACAAAATTGCCAACATGAACTTGCATCACAGAAATAAGTTCTTTTATTTGATTTTCACTGGCCTTCTCCCTCAAACAGGATAGCAAAGCAAGAATTGTTGCTTTTAGCTTTGAAATAAAAAGAAGGCTTATGCACCTGTTTATCAGGTCAGAACCCCCAATGCTGCATAGATTGTTGTGAAGATAAATTACTTTGACTACATGCATCAAAACAAACCACCTTACCTAAAACAAACAGATGTATATACTAATTCATGCAATATTCAAGTGTTTTGCAATGTTCTATCCTTTGATAAGACACAAGGAAAACTGGGAAGGTTCATTATTGCTTAATCATATGAGTTAGAAAAACTGTATTGAGAAGCTACATATATATATACGCACACAAAACAGGCTAGCCTCTAGCCGTTGCATGTGCTTTTGCATGGATGCAGGTTATGTTCTTAATAGGGCTGCAATCCTGGAAATTCCTCAGTGACATCAATAAGATAAATAACTGATGATGTGTCTGCACCATACAACCAAAACATCAATCTATGAATTCGGTCATTCAGCTGAACACTGGAAACATTTATGACTATTGACCAGATGCTGCCATTCCAATCAAACATCCTATGATCATTTTATGATCAATTTTGTATGATCTCACTGTCCTTAGTGTAAAATTACTCAAGTTAACAAGTTAATTGGGTGAAATTGAAAATACAGGACAACAGTCATGCTTTGCACAAGCATCCAAACACTGACAGACTGCCAGTTACAAATTGAGTTTGTAACTCTTTTCTGCCCAGATTTTTAAAACATCTCCCAAGGCCTACTGTCAAAAATTACTGGGAAGAGAAGTAGAGTGGAATTTAAAAAAAAAAAATATGGAAGAGCAACATACTAAGATGAAGAAGGAATGCAACTCAATAGATCACCACAAACACCAGAGTTAGGTGCTCCTTAAATAGCTGTGATATAGATGCAAATCCTAGGGATAATAATCATGTTTAAATGTATTAGTGGAACATCACAGTTACAAAGTTAAACTTGTGTCCTGCAAACAGAGCAACTGTTAAACCCATGAAGAGGCAGTAAACGACTGCCCAGACAACCCAAGTGTGGAACAGAAGCCTTCCATAATGAAGCTAAAAACAAAATACCAAACCTAACTTTGCCACTCTAACAGAACTCTCCCTGGGTGACAACTATTAGGGGCACAGCTGATGGGAACACTGCTTCTGGTTGTAATTTGACAAATCACTTCTTAATACAAACCTTTAATTCTCACTATGGGAATCATACCTGCTTTATAGCTTGCTGAAGTTTTTCCAGATTTATTTCTTTGGCCTCTTTTAGTAATGTCTTTTCATCCATCTTTAACATAGAAACTCTGTACTGGCATAGTTCCACCACAACAACATCAGGCTGCACTTCCTGTATTGTCTGAAAAAGACGAATTTATTTGCACCAGTTAGTACTGATCTTTCAGGAGAGTAATTTGCATTGGGCATAACAGAAGCCCATTCCACCAATTATTTTCAATTAACAGAACAGTAAAAAAGCATACAAGGCTTCACCTATTCAACTATTTATTTGGGGG